ATTGTGCTGATTACACCCCACTTTGGCTATGGGGGTGTGTCAGAATGTTATTATTGTCTAGCCTGCAGTGGGGTACTCTATAGCGAGTACAACCCAATTAGGGTTTCCTATATGTATGCCAACTGCTGCTAGTGCAAACCCTCTTTCTTGTTCTAAACTTTCTACTGCTAGTTCTGACATGGTTTCAGAGCAGGTCGATCCCCTTGGGTCGATCCTGTGGGTGGGCCCACCACCTAATGCTTCCGCTGCTCTACTGCTGTCGCGCGCCCCGGGCGCGCTACCCTTTCTTCCTAAACCCGAATTTGTTTTTCCGGTTTCCCTGTGTGGCGCGCGCCCGGGGGGCGCGCGGCCCTTTTTCTTCCTGGCGAGGCGCGCGCGCCCCCCCGTCCGTCCGTTGTGCCGCCCTGGCGAGGCGCGCGCGGCCCCCGCCCGTCCGTCGTGGCGTCCTGGGGGACAGCGCGCGCTCCCCGCCCGTCCGTCGTGGCGCCTTGGGGGCAGCGCGCTCGGCCCCCGCCCGTCCGTCGTGGCGCCTTGGGGGGCAGCGCGCACTCCCCGCCCGTCCCATCACGGCGCCCTGGCATGGCGCGCGCGGCCTCTGCTGCTTCGCCGCGGCGCCCTGGCCAGGCGCGCGCGGCCCCTGCTGTTTCGTCGCGGCGCCCTGGCCAGGCGCGCGCGGCTCCTGCAGGACCGTCACGGCGCCCTGGCAAGGCGCGCGCGGCCCCTGCTGGTCCGTTGCGGCGCCCTGGCTAGGCGCTCGCGGCCCCTTCCTGTCCCGCCCCCCCCCCCCCCCCCCCCCCCTCCCCCCCCTGTGCTGCCCATTACTCTCGTGCCGCCGTGCGTTCTGCGGTGGTGGGGGGTGTGGGGTGGCGAGCATGGGGGTGCGCGGTGTGGGTGCTCCCCTTCCCTTTTCCCCTCCTCCTTGTTCGTCTCCCACTGCTGCAGCTGCTGCTGAGGGGGGTGGAGGTGTGGGAGCCGCGGGGAGTGGAGCTAGGGGGGTGACGTGGAAGTGGAGTTAGGGGTGAAGCAGGGGGTGTGTGTCAAGGGGGTGGGACTGTTTGGGGAGGCTGAGAGGAGGCTGCCGTCTTGTCGTCCGCAGCACCTGTAGTCCGGGGCGCTGTCCTGGTAGCCCAGTGAGCCTGCTGCGCCAGTCGCCCGTGGGTCCGTTGCTCCTGCCGCTCGTCGTAGCCGCGGAGTCTGTTACTCCAGTAGTCCGGGGCCCTTGCTCCGGTAGCCACTGTGCCAGCAGCTTTTGTTGCCCGTGTGACTGCAGCTTCAGCCGTCGCCTCCAGTCTACTCTCCTCTCACAGTCACTCCTCCTCCTCACTTGCCCTCTGTGATAGCCTCTAGCTTTGCTTGTAATTGTGAACTATTACTATGCCTGCTTGTTGTGCTGATTACATCCCACTTTGGCTATGGGGGTGTGTCAGAATGTTATAATTGTCTAGCCTGCAGTGGGGTACTCCATAGTGAGTACAGCCCAATTAGGGTTTGCTATATGTATCCAACTGCTTGCTAGTGAAATCTCTCCTTTCTTCATTCTTGTTTCTGCCTGCTAGTTCTGACAAAAATTTGCCGCTGATTGCGGGAAAAAAAAAAACCGGCGAATGTTGATGTGCTAGACTAGACAGACAGACCCTCCCCCCCTCCCCCCCCCCCCTCCCCCCCCACGAAATTCGTCAGTGTCAGATTCGTTTCGAGTCTTTCGCGTCAGTCCGGTTACACGGACCACTCTGAACTATCAACCCTATGTGAAAGATATATTATAAAAAAAGGGTTCACCAACAAACAACTCTGAAAAATAAGGCAAAGGAACCCTAACCAGCCTTATAGTAAGGGTTGTCAGGGTGATTCACCCTGCTAACCAGAGGCCTGGGCACAGGAGGACGAAGAGGTGCCGGAAGGTGGGCTGGCATAGGAGGAGGACCCTGACAAGTGGGTGGAATATTGGTTCGCTGGTGAAGACGAGAATGATGATGTTGTTGCGCATGATCCTTTCGGTGATGGAGATTAGTGCTCAGTGTACTGTGTAAGCTAGTACGGTATATCTTTGCATGCTAACCATAGATTAGGCAACTTAGGCAGCAAGTAATGTAACTTAAGCTGGCAACTTAGGCTGCAAGTAATGTAACTTAGGCTCGCAACCATGCTAACCATAGATTAGGCAACTTAGGCCCTAATTACAAATGTATTTCTGATCCGGGATGCATTTCTGAAAGGGGGGTCTAGTAAAAAAATGGTGATAACATTAAACCCCCCCACCCCCCCCCCCTCCCCCTCTCCCCCCCCCCCCCCCCCTCCCCAAATTTAACGACCCATGGGGCTATAATTTTGGGGGGTCGATAACCCGGGTAAATCCGATATATGTTTCTCCTCAAACTATGTTGAAACCCATATTTCTCCAATTCCTCTCGCCATCCTTCCTAGAAGCCCTTAAGTCCCTCCTAAATTTAAGACCCTATTTTGACATATTCCCGCAATACAACCTCCTCAGGAAATTGGTTGGGATTGTTGAGATATGGACTTAGTTAGTAGCTAGGGAGTTGGAGCTAGGAGATGGTATCAAGAGGGTTTGGCCAAAGAGGGGTTGTATGATTAGAAACAAAGGTACAAGTAGGAGCAAGGGTGGGCACAAAGGTGCACCACCCACAAGAAGCTACACTACACTACTGTTAAAGCTGTTGGCAGTTTATATAAAAACATAACAATGTATTTTCTTCACCACACCCCCTAAACTGCCCACGGCAATAACTAGTGCAGCGGAAGTAGGAGAGGGCAAGTGAGGAGGAGGAGAAAGAGAGGTGGTAGGCGGCGGCTGAAGCTGCTAGCCCACGAGCTACTGGAGCATTGGCTCGCGGGCACTGGGGTAACTGGCTCGTACGCCTGGAGCATCCCGCTCGTACGGCTAGTGAACCTGACCCGACGGGCGACTGGAGCAACGGGCTCACTGGTGACTGGAGCTGCAGACTTCACGGCGGTCAACCCCCCCTCTCCAACCTCCCCCCCCACCCCTTTACAACGGCGGAGACGGCTGTAGGAGCAAACAAACGGAGGAGGCGGCTGGAAGACGGAAAACGGAGAGTAGAAAGGAGGAGGGCACGAGAGGAGAAGGAGGGAAGAGAGAGCAGCGGAATTGATGGAAAATGAGAAGGAAGAGGAGAGGTGGGGAGAGGAGACGGCTGAAGCTGATAGAAGCACGCTCCCGCCACCCCCTGAGCCCCCCCCCCCCACAGCGGCAGTCGCAGGCCACGCGGCCGACAGTGCAGTCACGAGGAGGAGGATAAAGGGTGTGGGGCGGGCGGCCTCAAGGGGGCTTAACCACCCCCTCAGCCGCTGGCGCGAGTCCCGCCACCTCCCCCCTACTGCGTCCATCGAGGCAGGGCGCAGCAGGAGGCGCAGGGACGGGGAGCAGTCGGGCAATGCGGGAGGCACTTGCGCTGAAGCTGGCGCTGGCGGTTGTCGCTGGCGGTGGCGCTGGCCGCTGTCGTTTGCGGTGGCGGCTGGTGCTAGCGCTGGCGCCTCGCACCTCCTTCCCGCTGTCCTTCCCACAGCAGCAGGCGCGGGAGGAGAAGGTGACAGGCTCGTGCATGTGACGCCTCGACGAGCAGACGCGGGTGAACTGCGACGGGCAGGGGCGACGGGAAACGCGACATTGCAGGCGACGGGGGGACCGTGAACGAGCTCGCCGTCGCTCCCGTCACGACGATCGCTAGCTTCGCAATCGTCGTGAGCGAGGCGACGGACGTCGCAGCTAACAGCGTGACGGGCGCCACGAAATGCGCGTGATACGATGGGCCCATGAAAGCTGGTTCCTAGGCAGAAACCCGCTCTGCTAGCATGTTGAGATATGGACTTAATTATTAGCTAGGGAGTTGGAGCTAGGAGATGGTATCGAGAGGGTTTGGCCAAAAAGGGGTTGTATGATTAGAAACAAAGGTACAACTAGGAGCAAGGGTGGGCACAAAGGTGCACAACCAGGCCTCTGGATAGGATTTGAACCAGTCTTTCTCATAAGGGTAACCAGCTGCTTTCACTCTTTCTGTAAGGGTACCAGGCAAGCACCACTCTTTTTTGTAAGGGTTTAAACCAAACTAGGACTGTTCATGATATATAGCTAGTGGAAGTTTGGCGTGACAGCTTAGCACGGTGGGTCGTATAGTGGAAGGGACGCGGGATCGATACTCGTGGGAGGCATTTGGTGGGCTATGTTATCCATGGGACTCCGTTCTTCGAGCTAATTCCTACTTTTTGAGGAGGATGTATGTTCCCGATCAGTGCGACTACACCACTTCACTCTGAAATATCAGGGTCCTAAACATATTCACTTTTTCCTGTAAGTGTCAGAAAAAAATCCACTTTGTAAAGTAAGGGTCCGAATCAGAACACACCCTTATAGTAAGGGTCGTAAGGGTGATTCACCCTTATATCAAGAGGCATGTGCACAACCCACAAAAAGCTACGCTACACAACTGTTAAAGATGTTGGCAGTTTATATGAAAACATAACAATATATTTTCTTCAAGAGGGATCGCCAGACCTGTTTGAATTATGAGCCCAGGTGTTTCTTGAAGACGCTCACTTCGCAATCGAATCATCGGGCGTCAAATAATGTTCACTAATAATGCCCCCCAAAAAACACTATCGCGAATACGCACCAAAGCTAAAAAAAAATGGCGTTACAAAAAAAAAAACATTCTTGAAATCATGATCATTTCGGGCGGGGGTTTCTCATAGTTACCATCCGCCTTATCATTTGCAAGTGTTGAGTTAACAAACGTGAGAAAAAATACTGTAATGGTTACCACACGTTATTGAGCACCATTTAGATTACATTTGCATGTTTTCCATAATAAGGAGATGCAATAATACTTGCCAATGCAGTAACCCGCGTCGAAAATTTCGTTCATGTGGTATCCAGGGTGACGCGAAGTGACAACCCTTCCTCAGGGAATTTGCAGGGGGAGTTTTATCGAGGCTCACATTTGGGAAAAGAGCTGGCAACCATGCCGCCGCGCCCTCTCGTTGCCCTGCGCCATCACCACCGCCCATTTCTGCCCCTCGCGCTCTCGTCGCTCCGAAGTCACGTTCAAGCTACAACCGCCGCTCCGCATCTTTCGCAGAGAGCTCTTACTTCGCTGCATCCCGTCCCATCCTTACCGAGCGGCGTCGCGCACACGCTAGAGATTCGAGTCGCTGCCGCGTTGCTCGAACCGCATATCGTGTCGCCAATCCACGCCGTGCAATCGGGCCTCGCGCGCGCGCCCTCGCCGTCGCCGCAACCCGTCGCTCAGCCGCAGCCGTGGCGCCATGGCGCGCCACCTCGCTGCCACACCCGCCATCCCTCGCCTGCTCCTCTTGCGCCCTCGCCCCTCGCAGGCAGTGCGAGTGGATGGCTGCGATCTGCTGCTGCGGGTGAGAGCTATGTGATCCCGCGCACTCGCACGCGGAGCTTCGCCCGCGGCAGTGGCGGCGGCAGTGACGAACGGAGTGCAGGCGGTGGAGACGACAGCGAGGCGCGATTGAAAGGCGAAGGCTGGGGTGGTAACCACACGGAGCGAGGTGGCAAGGCGGAGGCGCATGCGATGGAGGCGTACCTGCGGCGGTTCGTGGACTACGAGAAGCGAGGCGTGCCCGACGGTGCTGCTGCCGCTGCTGAGGCGACGAGCGAGGCGGGTTCAGGCATGCGGGAGGGCGGTGCGCGTGCGGGCGAGCAGGGGAGGGCGGGCGAGGAGCGGTTCGACCTGCAGCGCATGCAGCGGCTGATGGACGCCCTGGGGTCGCCCGTGTCGCAGTACAAGGTGAGGGGTGATGGGGGGCGGAGGGGGAGGGGGGGGAGGGGGGGAGAGAGGGGGATGGAAGGGAGGAAGGGAGGGAGGGTAAATTGGTGTGGGATAGAGGGCAAATCATAAGGCGGGATGGTGGGAAATGGGGTAGTCCTGATGGTTTGTTTGACGGAGCAATGTGTATGTGAGTGGACGGCGATCCGCGGGATGCCATGGATGGTGCGACTTCTCAAATCACACTGCGCGCTTCTGAAGTGCACAAGCATGTGCGGCACAGCACGGAGCGCCATGGTGCCATTGTATTATGTGCTGTTGTTGCAACGTGGTGCTCACATGCCGTGCGTGTGGGTGTGTGCGTGTGGGTGTGTGTGTGGGTGTGTGCGTGTGGGTGTGTGCGTGGGGTGTGTGCGTGTGTGTGTGTGTGTGGGTGTGTGCGTGTGGGTGTGTGCGTGGGGTGTGTGCGTGTGGGTGTGTGTGTGGGTGTGTGCGTGTGGGTGTGTGCGTGGGGTGTGTGCGTGTGGGTGTGTGTGTGTGTGTGTGGGTGTGTGCGTGTGGATGTGTGCGTGGGGTGTGTGCGTGTGTGTGTGTGTGTGGGTGTGTGCGTGTGTGTGTGTGTGCGTTCGTGTGCGAGGGGCATGTGCATTTGGATGTGTGAGCATGTGTGAGCATGTGTGAGCATGCATGGGCATGTGAGTGCAGGTGGTGCATGTGGCGGGCACCAAGGGCAAGGGCTCCACGGTGCACTTCATCGCCAGCATTCTGCGAGCGGCAGGCCTGGCTGTGGGCACGTACACCAGGTGCTGCACTGCCCGCCCACCACAGCTGCCCGTCCACCCGCTGCACACCCAGTACCTCGCTGTTCTGCGCTGCCTCTGTCTCCCCACTGCTGCGCTTCTCAGGGCGACCTGGGGCAGTGTGAGAGCCATTCCAGTGCCATTCCAGTGCCATTCCAGTGCCATTCCAGTGCCATTCCAGTGCCATTCCAGTGCCACTCCACACACCGCCGCTGCTTTGCTCTCACTCCAACCACCACTGCCCCTCTTTCCCCTTTCTTCCCGCTCACCTTCCCCTCCCGCCTGCCCTGTGCACCTGCACGCCCCCTCCACGCGGCCCTCATCTGCTCTCACCACTGCCTGCCTGCCCTGCTGGTGCGCCTGCGCTGCGGTGGGTGGGGGTGGGCAGTCCGCACGTGGTGAGGCTGAACGAGCGCATCGTGGGCCCCACGGGGCACCCTGCCACCGATGCGCAGCTGGCGGCGCTGCTGGCACGCCATGGCGGCACAGTGGACGCCGTGTGGCACGAGGAGAAGCGGCGCGGGGGGGTGCTATCACACTTTGAGGTGCCATTCATGTGGGGTGGCGTGGCGTGGTGTGGGAGTGGGGAGTGCAGTGGGGTGCTCTCTCACATGTGGAGTGGCAACCCTGTGTGCCCATCTGACACTACACCTCCCACATTTCTCACCCATGTGAATGTCCCTCTCCACCCTGTCCTCCATTGCCACTCACCGCTCAAATCGCACATACCTGTAACTCGCTTCGCGCCCCCCCCTGTGCGTGTGTGGGTGGCAGGTGCTGACAGCGCTGGCGTTGACGTTCTTCGCGGAGCAGAGGGTGCAAGTGGCCGTGGTGGAGGTACTCCTCCCGGGTGGGCTTGCGTGCATGGGTGCACACATGACCTTGCGGCATGCGCGTGTGATTGGAAGCAGGCGGGGCGGATGCTGGGGTTGGTGCTGTGGGTGGGGCCATGAGGGAGGAGTTGCTGCACATGACACACACGCACCACCCTTCTCCTTTCTTGCCGTCTGCTTATTCTCAACTGACTGAAATCCGCGACCAGCAAATACCTGGTATGAGTCGCCACGTGGTCGCTGCCTTCCCTCCTCCTGTGCCCCTCTGCTCGTCCCACGGCACGTGTGTGGGCAGGTGGGGCTGGGCGGGGTGTGTGATGCCACGAACGTCATCCCAGCGGGCAGCCTGGCAGCAGCAGTGATCACGGCTATCGGCATGGACCACGTGGGCGCGCTGGGGGGGTCGCTGCACAGCATCGTGCATGCCAAGGCAGGCATCATGCACGCCGCCACCCCGGTAAGCTCACAGGGACTTGGGGGGGGTGGGAGGGGCCGAGCAGCGCAGGGCACGTCAACCAACCTCTACTCCTCACACAGCTAGTACCTACCTCGCCAATATATCTTAGCAGCTCCCTTCCCTACAAGTTGCACTTATCTTACCGATTCTCTCACTCCACAAGCCTTCATCTGTTGACAGTGTGTGCAACCCCCTCGCCCGTGCCACGCAGGTGGTCATCTCCCCCCAGCCTCACCCCTCGGTCCTCCCCCAGCTGCTCTCACTCGCCCACCGCCTGCACTGCCCCACCGTGCTTGTTGCTGCACCTCACAGCAGCGACACCAGTGCCAGCAGGCATGGCAGCACACTGCTGCCCGGTGCTGGCAGCAGCAGCACGCCTGCTGAGGTGCTCCCCCCTGGTGGTGGCGAGGGCAGGGCGGGCGAGTGCAGTGAGAGCAGGCAGGGGGCGCAGGGGGCACTGGGCCCCGCACACGCGGAGGGGGTGGTGACTGAGGGGGAGCAGTGGGGGGACAGCAGCAGCGGGGCATGGCAGGCACAGGGAGTGTGGCGGGCAGGTGTGGAGTGGAGGGAGAAGGGCGTGGACACGGTTGACAGCACGCAGGGCGGGCAGGAGGGGCGTGAGAGCGAGGGTGGTGGGCGGCGCATTGCAACGGTGGTTGACTTTGCAGTGGACATGGCAGTGCTCTCTGGCGACCCACACGCCGCCAAGGTGCGTGCCGTGCTGCACGCGTGCCAGGGCCATGAGTCAGGCGCAATTGTGGCACGGGGATTTAAGACAGCCTTGAGCTATGAGGTCACTGTTGCACCAGCATCATGCCACTGTTACCATCCTTCCGTCCCCACCTCCCCCGCCTGCCCTGCCGCCCTGTTTCGCGGGCACGAGAGCAGGAGCAGCTGAGGGGCGTGCGGGTGGGCATGGTGGGCGCGCACCAAGCCGCCAACGCCGCCACAGCGGTGGCTACGGCGCTGCTGCTGCGCCACACACTGGGCGCCATGGGCAGCGCCATCACACCCGCCGCTGTGCGCCACGGGCTGCTGTGCACGCCGCTGCCAGGGCGCTTCCAGGTGCTGCCTGCGGCGCAGGTGTGCGCACTCACACGCACCGTGCTGGGGGGCACAGGGGAGACCGGGGGTGCGGGTGCGCTGGCGGAGAGCTGCACTGGTGTGCACGGGGAGGGGCACGGGGAGGGTTGGGGAGAGCGGCAGGAAGGAGGTGGATGGGGGGATGGCGGAGAGGGGAAGGAGGGGGAGGAAGCGCGGGGAGGGAAGGGGGAGTGTGGCGGAGGGCGAGGGAGCAAGGAGAGGGAGGCAGAGGTGGTTGTGGTTCTAGATGGAGGTGTGCTGTTCCCTGCCCTGCCTCTCCTCTACTTGCCGCCTCCTGTATCACTCACATGCCACCCTTCTCCTCACTCACCTCTTGCACTACCAGTTCCGTTGCACCTCCTTTCCAGCCCTCCCCTTGCACTCCCTCCCCTTGCACTCCCTCCCCTTGCACTCCCTCCCCTTGCACTCTCTCCCCTTGCACTCCCTCCCCTTGCACTCCCTCTCCTTGCACGCCCTCTCCTTGCACGCGCTGACGACTCTCCATCTCCATGCAGTGGGCCTTGTCCCAATGCAATGCACTCCTCTTCCCCACGGCCCCATGCATGTGTGCAGCACACACGGGCGACTCTGCCGCAGCACTGGCGAGGACGCTGCTGCAAGTCTTTGGCGCGCCTGCCACCATGCCCTCTCCTTCTGCCACCCACCCCGCACTCTCTGCTGCTGGGGAGACCAGCGCCAGAGGGGACGGGGACGCAGGGGCTGGCCAGGGCGGGGGTTGCGAGGGCGAAGTGAATGGTAGTGGGATGGGAGGGAGCAGTGCAGATGGGGGTGTGCAGTATGTGTTTGTGGTTGCCATGGCAGCCGACAAGCAACACCACGAGTTCTGCTCTGCACTCTTCTCAGGTCGGCCCTTATTCTTCTCCATTTCACCCACTCGCCCTCCGATTTCTTTCTTGTGCAAATCTTCGCTTCTGTGTTGCATGGCAACTGTGGGAGCAGCAGCGGGCATGGATGTGGCGTGCGCGGTCTCGTGCTCACCTTGGCTCACGCTTGCTGTCCTGTGAGCAGCAAGCGTGATCATGCATGCCCCATGCTTCGCCCCATACCAACACGTCTTGCATGGCCCCCCTTCCCAATCCCCTCCCTTGTGCTTCCCCTGCGGGCAGCCATCCCGCCAGCAGCAGTGCTGTGCACGTCAGTGCCGATTGCAGCGGCATCACAGCGGGCCATGGCCCCCGCTGCACTGCTCTCCATTGCACACACCCACCTGCCATCCATGCCCCCTCTTCCTGGGGACCCCGCACTGCCACGCCTCGCTGCACTGCCTGACCTCCGCTCTGCGCTCGCAGCCGCCCTGGCCTTTTCCACCACGGGGCTGCTTCTCCCACACAGCAGCTCGCCTGAGAGGGAGTGGCTGTGTCCAGGGGAAAGAGAGCGTGAACGCAACACACAGGGGGCTTGGGTTATCAGTGGGCAAAAAGGGAAGCATTCTGTGGGTAGACGGAGGAGGGAGAGAGTGGTGTTGTGCGTGACAGGGTCTTTACATGCAGTGGGTGCTACGTTGACCCTACTAAACAGTTGACATGATAGAAGAAATACCGTTATCGCTGGGATAGAAGAAATACTACCAGTACCCCAAATGTACGGTACGCGCAGGTGCACTTCAAATAAGTCATAGGCTGTAGTGAGTTGCAGAGTATAGGGTACAGCCATCCTCTCGACATTCCTACTTGTACCCCCTTTCCTTACTAGTCTACCACTTCCGCTAACCTACTCTCGAGATGGTATCGTATACTAAGTTCCTAGGCCCGGTTTAGACAGCCTTATCTCCTAAATTTCGTCCAGCCAGCCAACAGAAGTGCGCCCTCCCCCCCAACCCCAGGCAGCGCGCCCGTTTCCTAGCCCGCCAGAGCGTACGCCCCAACCTTCCAAAGCGCGCGCGCGCGTTAGCCAGCAACAGCCACGCACGCGAATGCAGTCGCGCACAAGCAGCAGCAGCAGCGCGCATGCACGCTGCTGCCGCGCACGCACAAGCTGCAGCAGCCGCACGCATGGCAGCCTTGCATGCAGCTGCAGAAACAGCCGCGCACGTGACCTGCCACACGCTCCCATCTGCCCACAGCTGCCCATCTCCCACAGCTGGTCCTGAATCCCGTCTCCACTAGAGCAGCTGCCAACATCTGGTACTAGCAGCGTGGCGCTTGCTTCAAGCCGAAGATAGACCTTTTGAGCCTGCACACCCTTCCTGTTGACGGGAATGTGGCCCCACCCTTGTTTTGACAAAGCCGACTTTGCACTCGGGTGTGCGAGAGGTGCATACAGCTGCCCTCAGTGGTCGACACCGACTTGGCCGAGGAAGTCGACAGCCTTGGTCGACTTCCGCGGGACCACGGCGAAGCCACCGCCGACGGGAAGTCGGCAGCCGACTTCGAACTAGGTGATCGACGAAGGGGTTCGTCGTCCTGGGTGGGCGCCGACTTCGTGGGCGCCAGAGACATTACATGGTGGACGGTGAAACCAGGGCCGGGAACTCCTGCAGGGGTGCGCGGACATCGCCCAGCTGGTTCTGGCGAAGTCGACCTGCGGGCTGGTATCCCGAGGTCAACGTGGCTCATCAGGCGCAACCGTCGACACGTGGCTGACTTGGGACCTGCACAATGTTCGAGATGGTGCACGACGTGCTCAACCGTCGACCAGCACATGCGAAGTGTGAAACTCTTGCCAATTTGCCCCGTGAACTCACACACGAGCAAGTGCTAGAGAGAACGCTACGATCACTCGTACCACCCGTAGTCCCACTTCCGTTGTAGAGTGACTCTCCGCATGGTGCGGTAAGCGTGGACGGCCCCGCATATTGCTTTCAGATTAGTAGCCGACTCATCACTTACGTAAATCCTTGTTAGGCCGGCAGCATGCGGAGATAACTCGTACAACGGGAGCTGGTCTACGGGGTAGGCACGGGGTAGGAGTGATCGTAGCGTTCGTTCCTTAGTCGTTCACTTGTGCTCACTCTACTTGCGCATTCACAAGGAAACTTGGCAAGGGTTTCACTAGCAAAAGATAACAACAATGGTAACAACAAAGTTGGCAAGCAAGACTACATCAGATGCTAGCAAGCATGCAGGTCGACTGCCAGCGCAGCACGGTCGACCGCGTTCCAGCACGACAGGGTCGACCTCGCTCCAGCAGTGCAAAGTCGCGGCCTGCCAACGCTGCAAGTCGACGGCGTGCCAATGCTGCAGCAAGGCGGCTGCACAGCGTTGCACCCGCAGGACAGCAGCACACCCGCTTCGCAGGTGCTCGCAGTTGATTGGCGTGTTGTGCTTCGTCACCTGCACAGCGCAGACACCAGGTTGTCCTCGTGATGACGACAGCACCTAGTTAGCCACGTCGACCTCGGGATACCACCACCGAGGTCGGCTTCGCCAAAGACACATGGGCGACTGGCGTGCTCCTCCGGCGGAACCCCGTCACCCAGGTAACCTGGTCGACCGGGCAACGACGTCGACCAGCTGCTCCTCCTCGTGCCCGTCGACCACCCAGGTCGACGACCACCACCGGTCGACCTCCCCAAGTCGATCACACCCCTGGTCGACCAGCTCCAGGTCGACCAGACCAGCAGTCAGCCGACCACACCAAGTCGGCCGCCTCAGGTCGGCGTCCCCAAGTCGATGCCTCCGAGGTCGACCTCGCCAGGTCGACCACCCGAAATCGGCGCCCACCAAAGTCGGCGCCCCTCCCAGGTTGACGTCTCCCCTCGTCGACCACCAGGTTGAAGTCGGCTGCCGGCTCCCCTCGTCGGCAGCTTAGCAGTGGCCGTCGTGCAGGTCGACCTAGCCCGTCGACCAGCTCGCCAAGTCGGCGTTGCCCACTGCTGCAAGTCGGCTGCACCTCCCGCACACCCCACCACGAAGTTGTCAAACTATAACTGTTATAGTTTGTTAGTCTAGTCTAGGTGTTACATTGAGTTATGCTGTAGAGGGTATAACCCCCTTAGGGTTTGCTAAATCCTCCCTTGTACTGCTTGTTTCTACTCATTCATTCTTCCAGTTCTATCTTTGACATGGTATAGAGCTTAATTCGTTCCCATGGACCCACCTCCGCACGCCCCGTTCGTTTCTCGATAGCCACCCGTAGCGCGCTCGCCGCTCGTTGGCCGCCCGTCTGCCGTCCGTTCGCCGTCCGTTCGCCGCCCGTTGCCCGTAGCGCCCTCAGCAGGTCCCGTCACCTCACGGGCCTTAGTTCGTCCCGTAGCGCGGCCCCCGCGGGCCTTAGTTTGTCCCGTAGCGCCCCCCCCCCCCCCCCCCGTGCGCCTGAGATCGTCCCGTAGCGCGGCCCCCACGGGCCTTAGTTCGTCCCGCAGCGCGACCCCTCCGCGGGCGCTCCCGTTCGTCCTTAGCGCGGCCCCCGCGGGCGCTCTCGTTCGTCCCGTAGCGGGGCCCCCCGCGGGCCCTTACGTGCGTCGCCCCCCCCCCCCCCCCCCCCCCGTGGCCCCTCTTTCGTCCCGTAGTGCGGCCCCCCGCGGGCACACTTGTCTTGTCTCGACCTAGGTCGCGCGTCACCCGTCCCCTGTAGCGCCTGTCGCCCGTAGCGCCCGTCGCCCGTAGCGCCCGTCGCCCGTCGCCTTAGTGCCCGTAACCCTAAATTGTCGCGTCCACCGCCTCACCCTCGCCCGCGCTCGCCCGACCCTCGCCCTAGCCAGTCGCGCCCGTCGGCCGTGGTACGCTAGCACGATCAGCAGCGACTACAGCGCGCCGCCCCACGCCAGCTCTAGCAGCAGCTTGAGCCAGCAGCAGTCGCTAGCGCCAGCAACAGCAGCTAGCGCCAGCAACAGCAGCTAACGCCAGCAACAGCAACTAGCGCCAGAAACAGCAGCCAGCGCCAGCAACAGAAGCCAACGCCTGCAGCAGCAGCCAGCGCCAGCAGCAGCCGCCCGTGCCTTCTACCACACTAGACCGCTCCCCACCCCACTAAACAGCTCCCGACCGCACTAGACTGCTCCCCACCGCACTAGACCACTCCCCACCGCATTAGGCTGCTTTCCACTACACTAGACCACTCCCTACCGCACTAGACCACTCCCCACCGCACTCGCTGACACCTACCACTGGCACTGCCGCCTCGACTGGCCCATACCCCAGTACTAGCGTGCAATTTCGATGTGGCATCAGTGGCCGAAGCAACAGCGGTGGCAGCAGCACCGGTGGCCGCAGCAGCAACAGTGGCCGCGACAGCAGTGGTCGCAGCAGCAGCCGTGGTCGCAGCAGCAGCAATGGCCACCGCAGCAGCAGCAGCAGCAGCAGCAGCAGCTGCGGGTTCAGCAGCAGAGCCAGCGGCAGCCTCCACCACGGGGACCTGTCGGACCCGGCTAGTAAACACACCGGTACGTGGGAGCTGCAGCTGGGGTTGAGACTTGTGTTTCCAGTCTTGGTGCTTGCGTAGTATCCAGTCCAGGCGCCTCAGTGGTTCTTAGTGTGCGAGATGCAGCTACTACTAGTCTAGTACCAGCCTTTGTCGCTGGCTCGTGTGCGACCTCACCGACTACACAGCTTTCCTTCACCCTAGACTCTGGAGCGTCCAGCAGTTTCTTTCGAGACTGCACCGACCTCACGCCACCGCACACTCCAGTCACTGTCGCCTTGGCTGACCCCTTCGTGGGATCTGTAGTTGCCCACAGCACCACCATTCGCCCGTGTCCGGCGGGTCTTGTCAGAAATAGGAATGAAGAATGACTGGAATGACAGCAGTACAGGGTTTGTATAGCAAAACCTAATTGGGCTGTACCCCATAAGGAGTGCCCCACTACAGCCTAGAGCATATAAATGCATAGTTCTGACACACCCCCATAGGCAAAGTAGGGGACAAGCAAGAGAACGAAGCAAGGTCAAGCTCAGGGTGGATCACAACGTCACCACACATTCTGAGCACAAGCAAATGGCCACAAGGCCAGTTCACATGCAGAGTTATATATAAAGGAGAACAAGCAGTACAGTGATCACAACCTAGCAAGTGTAAGCATGCAGGTATATGTATCTAGATCACAGTACAAGCAAAGTCAAGAAGTGAGAAAGTGAGGCCAAGTAGGCACAAGGCCTAGAACAGTACAGAAACGCTGATGATCACAAGGCTGAAGTGCCTTGGTGAAGATATCAGCAGTGTTGGCCTGAGAGGCCACGTAAACAAGACGAAGCTGACCACGCTGCTGCAACTCTCGAGCAAGGAAGTAGCGCAGAGCGATGTGCTTCGTTCTGTGCTCCAGTCTGTGCTCCTGACACAAGGCAATCATGGCCTTGTTGTCGACGTACAGAACTGGAGGAGAACGAGGCGGCTCTCCCAAGTCGGTCAGCAGGTAGGTGAGCCAGCGTAACTCCTGTGCAGCCATGGCCCCTGCGTAGATCTCAGCCTCACAACTGGAGCTGAGAACAGAAGACGAGCGGGTAGACCGCCAAGAAACAGAGCCAGAGCCAAGGCTGAAAGTGTAACCCTGTGACGACTGCTGCGTAGCCAAGTCGTCAACCCAAGAAGCGTCTGCGTGACCACTGAGGACAACTCGAGCCCGTCCTCCAAGCACGAGCCCCATGCCCGAC